AGGGCGTCTTTGATGGCGGTGAGCGCCAGGACGGCGCACAGGGGGATGATGGTGGAGAACGGGGTCAGGGAGGAAACCGACGGGATGAACTGTGAAACAGGGCGCAACACATTTTAACCACCACAAACACACAAACCTGTATGCATGCACGCACGCACGCAAACACGCACGTACATGCGCACGCATGCATGCACGCACACAAAGAAATGACAAGACGCCCGTACGCAAACAAGTTTTTAAAAAAATGACATAAAAAATCAACAGGCTGTAACAACTTCTGTTGAACTTGAAACTGGAACATCTGTTGAACGTGAATGAGAAAGAAGTCTTCCATCACCTTCCTTCGTCAGATCACCTGCTGCGTGCGGAGTGTACAGTGTACACCTTGCGTCATTTCAATGCCACTGGCTTAAAGTCTAGACCACAGAGTGACAACGATGGCATGCGCAAAATGACGGAAAACAGCACAAGAAGAGGAGAATGGAAGACAGAACTAAAGTCGAACAATCGTCTGGAAACTGAGGTGTCGTGACGTCGCTTGTCCAGCCAGCCTGTGGAGGAAACGTCACGACATACTCTACACTCTACACAGTTCAGCTTGAGCAGAAAAAAACAACCTGTTATTGTGTAGTGCATAAGAGCACAGTGTGCAATATTCGACGTGCGAGAAACGTGCACTGAACATGTCAACCGGAAACAATGAAAACGACAATCACAGGAAATAACACTCTGTATTAACAGACATAGGGTTAACATTTCAGATAAGATAATTTTGCCGCCAATATCTAAACGAGACAAATACCCTTAACAACACAAACATCCAATAAACTTTAAAAAATAAGAAAGGGGGGGGGGGAGAGAGAGAGAGTCCAAAAGATTATATCTAGAATCTATAAAACCCACGCAAAACACACATACAGGAGAATTACATCTTGTTACTTCACTGTCAACTACCAAGAAAAAAAAATTCTTGAAAATGGTTCGTCATTAATTCACTAGGTACCTTCACTCAATTAATCATGTGCCGTATGTGTGTTTGTTACGACATTTATTCACGTAAACGTTTAATACTACATCTACTACTCTTCCCCAATCGTTTTTCTATAGCAGCGTGCGCGTTTAGTTTTGTTTGACGTACGCTGAACGGCAGCGAACCATCTGGAAAATGTATTCAGACAAAGGGTGAAGCAGGGGGTCGTTTGACTAACAGGTAATTGCACAGGTTCAAAGAACGAAAAGAGAGAGGTATGAATATAAAAATGGTGTTATTATCAACATTATCTGAAAACATTTGAGAAAGCCCAAGCGGTGCACACTATAATGGGTGAGTCCACAGATGTATGCAACAAAAAGCAAATTGGCATAATATAAACAATCAGACCAAATCAACACTCCATTGCCGATGCTTTGTTTGGGAGGTAGGAGGATCACTGTTAATATTAATAATGCAGGGAGATACATATTACATAATAGCAAAGGCTCTGTCTACAAAACTCCAAAATTGTTTTTAAAACACGAGTATTTAATAAGCATGAGTGGCACGTTAGCGTATCAACACTTCTGTCAATACTTACGCGCCATGTCCCTATGGCTTATCCTTGTATTTTAATAAAAAGTAAAACTTTAAACTTTGTAAATATGCCAGAGACCAAACGATGCGTATATAATTTACTGAACAAGTCACAAACGAAGGCCCCGGTCCTCTCTCTTACTCGTCCTATCTCACCCTCGACAACTTATATCGCACAAAAATCTCTAGCATGCGCACGTTTAGAGCTTGTTATCTTATTTCAGCCAACCTTTAGAGAGCAGTCTCATAGCCTTTTCCGTAATTTTTTTTATCCCTCTCAAAGAAGTAAACATGGGGATGCCCAGGGGTTTAACATGTAAAACACGAAGACATAATTTTGACGATGTTATCAATGCACACGTTACCGCTTAATGCCAATTTCCTTTATATCACGTGCGGGTTAAAAACGACGAAGAAAACAGCAACAACAGCCGAAGTACATCATTATTATTATTATTATTATTATTATTATTATTATTAATATTATTGCTGTTGTTGTTATAATTAAAGGGAAAGCAGCAAAAGAAAACAAAATGAAAAAGGAACGCGAAATCACGAAAACTATATTGTTCTAAAAAATATTGCCGCACCGCAAGGAAATCGCCACACTGGTACAGAGATTGGAGAAACAATTGTGTATTTGGGTGAGGGCGGGGATACACTTTCGCAAGATGGGTGTTTTTATTTTTAAAGAAAGGTGCACAGGCAAGCAATCTGGAGAATGTTAATCAAAAAAATAAAAGGAAAAAAATGCTAGCTACAATAGTCTAGGCGAAAACAAGCAGTCAGAAAATTTACCTCCATGCTGGCCCATTACTGACATTAATTATTATTATTATTATTATTATTATTATTATTATTATTGTCATCATTATCATTATATTATTATTACTATTATGCTTGTTGTCGTTTTTGTTGTCATTGTTATTAATGATATTATCAGGAATATTATTAGCACTTTTGCGTGAATAAACATTGCAGCGATAAAGCCTAATGTATATCTTCTGAAAATAAGTTATTATTACACCATCCTTTGTTGATGCAATTTTCTTAGGTGCTTTGTGCAAACAATTCGACCAACAACGGCCAGAAGTGAAAACAAGGTGACGTACCATCTGCAACGCCATAGATCGTCTAAAATCCTTTTTAATAAACAAATTAAATACATCAAATTTCGGCTCGTGGCGTTGTATAGGATAAGGCTGAAACAAAGGCAGCAGCATCGAGGTGAAAATCTAACCACTACACAGCATTAGTAATGTCTAGCTATAGAAGGAAAATACTAGCTGATAAAAGCTTAGAGGGAAATTGGAAAAAAACAACAACAAAAAAACCCCAGCAACACTCAGTCAAACAGCCAACAGATAGGGTGCATGAGACACACAAAAAAGAGGTTATGCCGTTAAGCCGGATCTGAGAAAGAGGAGCGTCGTCTCGTTGAGAGGGACTTACGAAGTCGTCAATGGCCTCCTTTATGGCCGATATGCTGAGCACAAACACCAGCGGAATGATAGTGGCCACGGGCTCCAGGGAGGACACGGCCGGGATCAGCTAAAGGGTTAATGATAGTCAAGGACACATGCAGGTGAGCAATCGCTTTTTGGCGTACTACGCAATCATTTGTTGCATACAACGCAATCATGTGCTGCACACAACGTAATCATTAATTGTTGAATAATACGCAATCATTCGTTGCACATTACTCAAACAATTGTTGCGTATTACGCAATCATTTGTTGCATACTACGCAGTCATTTTTTATCTGCGGCATACAAAGCAGAAACAATTTTTGTCACACAAGCCTACAACACACTCATTCGTCGCATACTACGCTATCATTAGCTGCATTCTGCGCAAACAGTTTTGGCATCCACGTGACTGACGATGGTGGGGGTGTGATAGGGAGCTTGAAATTGTGGGTGTGAGTGTGGGGGGGAAAGGGGGGGAGGGGGTGTGAACTGAAATCCTGTAAGAGGATAGGGAGGGGAGACTACGCGATTTTGTGGAAGTCGAAAGATTAGTCATCGAAGCCTCATCCAGAACTACATTATACAGGTAGTTCTCAACAATCTTTTTTTTTTTTCGTGTGTTTGTGAAATGGTGCAATGACTCATCTTCCGACTTCAACAAGTCACATCGTGTGCACACTCTTTAAGGAAAGCCTACAATTCTTGTTCACGCAAACACGATAAACATCCAGGGTTGGGGTGTGCGTTTTTACAGCGCTGTCAAAACCATCGAGCCCAAGTAAGTTCTAGAAAGCAAAGTAGGGCACACAGGAACACAACATTTACAGTGAAAAAGTCGGAGCAGACCACACGCGACCACCCGCCAGCCTCCCGCAATTGCGCGAGAGCTATACATTCTTAAATATTATCCTCTGACTCTGACCGTCTAGCGCCAAAGGGAAAGAATGATCAAGTAGGTCACTATCGGAATGTTTAGGATGGAATGCGTGACTGCGTACGCTGGTGTGGGCAGTGGGTCGTAACGTGCTTGTGGTCCGTTTATTGGACCGAGTAAAGTAGACAGTCCGGGGCACTGGCACTACACTGTTTTGTTTGAGTAAAGAGCAGCACATGGACACAGTAACAGTCAATTAGAGCTGAAAAAAAAAGACAGACAGAGTGACAGACAGACAGAAACAACAGCGGGAAAGTAAACAAAAAAAAGCAGGACCTACCACCAGTGCATGGCGCCCACCAAGCACCCGTCTACACGATATTGTCGCATGAACGCCAACCATCAACAATCGAGAAATTGTTTCCGAGGTTGTCCTTCGATCTTACCGTTATTTTTGTTGTTGTCGTTGATTATTATTGTGGAAGTTGCCGTTAAAATTGATGTTCTTGAAATTGTTGAGGTGGTTGTTGTTCTACAGGGTTATAAACGTTCCCAGCCCTAAAGGCAGGTCACGTTGAAGGAGGACGTTTCAACTCTGGCACGGACATCAGGATGACGCAAACATTCTAGGAATGACCAAACGTATTTGGCATTCTACTGGGATTCGAACATCAAGCTCTCACGATAAAAACCATGTCCGCGTAAAATCTACAGAAAGCCCCGAGCAAAACATAAGGGGAAATAGCGACAAATAACCAATAATACGCTCAAAAGATTGAATGATTTACGCAATCGACATAATTTAGACAATTTAAGCCCGCGCAGGCTGCTTTGACCCAAGGTTAGTTTGAGGTCTGAGAGGGATACAGTATCACAGCAAAAAGAAGTATATTATTCTCGATCAAAAATACATCCAAACAAGAGAACCGTTCTAGCTTTATAAATATCAAAATCGAATGACGTCACCAGACAACAAATCGCATTGTGGGCATACGCCCTAAACAGCTGCCTCATTCCATTAAACACATTATAGGCCTACATAATACGTGTTTGCTAATTAAACATGAAAGTGTGACCACTTATAATTATGTTGTTACGCTTTTATACAACCTATCAGTATGCATAACCATTTGACACGCAAGTGTGGTGACGTTCTTTCTTTGCCGTAAATGAGCGAAATGAGCTGGTAACACGTGGTACAATGTGCTGCGCACCACGTGTAGGCAAACACACACACACACACACACACACACACACACACACACACACACACACAT